CACGTCTCATGAGGTGTCATTGAAACCTTCATAGTTGCAAACAGGTTTAAGATATGAGCTACTTTCTTGGTGACATACCCCCAAAACATAATTTCTAGTGAATCCTTACTTATCATACATCAAACGATGTCCAAAAATGTTCAATTTCTCCTTTCAACAACACCATTAAGTTATGTTGTTCATGGAGGAGCTAATTGTGAAACTATTCCATAATTTTGAAAATGATTGTTGAACTCGATATTAAGTTACTCGCCGCCTCTATCAGATAAGAGGACCTTTATCTTATTTCCCAATTGATTCTATACTTTATTTTGATATTATTTGAAATTTTCAATAGGGATAGCACTTATTTTTACTCAAGTAAACATAACCACATCTACTAAAATCTTCAGTAAATGTAATGTAGTGCTTATTGTTCATTGTGGCCAATCTGAAGGGTCGATACACATATGCGTGTAAGAGATCCAATAATACTTCACCTCTTTCACAAGTCCATGTGAATGGTGATTTATCTTTCCCAATAAACAAGACCCACATACATCATCCTCTTTTAGGTAGAATGATTCCAAGATTCCTTCCGATTGGAGCTTGGCGATACATTTCTTATTTGTGTGAACAAAGCGACAATGTCATATGCACAATTTATCTAAGTTATTAAAAGAATCAATATTTAAGTTAACATTTACATTATTAGAAACACAAACAACACTTTGGTATATCATTGCAAGGGGATGATTTAAACATAAAACAATAATCTTTATAAACCAAAACATTCACCTTCTCATTATCAAATGAAACCCAAAACTACGTTTAAGCAATGCATGAAATTAAATAATATTTCTAGACATCTCCAAAAAATAACAACAGTTAACTAAATCAATTCTAACTCCACTACTCAAAAATAGCTCGAAATCTTTAACCATCGAGACAGGTGATGTTTGTCTATTCCCTTTGATTAGGTTTAGCTCATCATGGTTAAGCTTCCTTCATTCCTTTAGGCCCTACAATACATTTCATATGTGAGTACCAAATACTTATCAAGAACCTATTAATTAAAATTAATAGCATTATGGAGTTTGATTATATATGTACATGAACTGGACCCAATCTCTTAGACCTTACCATCCTTGAAATCTTTCAAGTTGTAACGTGTAATGTCGTGATCTTTACCATAAACTTTTTTTTTCTTTTTAAAATAATCTTTAACAGAATACGTTAGTGCAAGACTTAGTTTTTAGTTTAAAACATTTTCAAACCACAACGTTACCTCAAAATTCAAACATAATTCCACACCATTTAAAATATAAGCAAAAGTACTTTAAAGTAAATAATCAAAAACGTGTCCAAGAGTGGTATTGATAATATAAATCTACTAGTTATAAGTAAACCCTCTCACCAATGCCAATCTTCTAAGTTGGATGCACCAATCATAAGGCACAAAGGAGAAAATATACAAGTGTTAGCCCTCGTTAAGTGAGTTTATAAAGGTTTCTCATAAAACATACAAACCCCAAATGGGTCAATCTTTCATTTTACGATGAAACATCAAAATGATAGACAAATACCATTTACAAAACAACTGTATATCATAAATATTCAATCATATATTCAATCACATACATGCATATATGTTCAACCGTAATTCTACCACATAACATATTTGATCAACCGAATACTACATAAACAATTGTATAGCATTTAAACAATCACATTTCATATATAGGTAACCTTTACGTATTCAACCTTTTATCAATAACCATCATTTTGTTACATATTCAACCTTTTAATATATATGACCAACATTTCGTTATATATTCAACCTTTTAATATGCAACCAATCTTTTGTTATTTATATAACCTCTTATTATATCTATCTAATCGAATCATAGAAAAGTGTACCTTTCCTAACCTAAAAGAAACACCTTGTTCACTACTTGTGTACACGGCCAGCCAAATACTGTAAGTCATTATTGACTTCCACCCGAAACATGCTTATGAACTCACCAACATTGTTTATGTTGACTTTTTAAATTAACTTGTATTCTTAGGAAACCGTTGAGCAGGTTGAGCGAAACAAAGTAATGGATATTTGTATATTTTGTTTCATCATACTTTAACTATTTTGGCATGTAATATTAAAAATACAATACTCAATGTAAACAATGTATGTTCATATATTACATGTGTGATGATGATGATGTTACGTTTCAATTATATACTATATGATGATACTACAAAGATGAAGTCACACCAACCCCCGGACGTTTCCGCCATCTGGTTCTAGTGTGTGACAAGATCTGGATACCAACTTGAATCGTGAGAGTACTTTCCGAACTCATATTTCTACGATATGTTTGGGTTGCAAGAAATTCAGCCTAAGATAATCCAAGTGGAAACTTACGATTCTAGGCACATAAATCCTAAGCCAATTTTCTAGAGAGATTCTGTGAGAGTTTGATGAAAATGAGAGTTAAAATTCGTAACCCTCTTTTGAGACTGAAGATCCATTTATAAATTAAAACGAGATTAGAGTTTTATTAGGGTTGAGCCGTCATTAGTTGCTTTGGAAGCAAGCCAGTATAATCCGGATTTAAAGAGGATTTAGGGTTACCAAAAATAACGAGTTTCGTTAGGTTTACCATAATCACCCTCAAGAAATTCAGCCTAGGATAATTCAAGCGGGACCCCACCCAATGGCTCTACCCTTGGTCCCCGCTAGGGGCGTTGCCCTAGACCCTGCCAAAGGGGCGCTGCCCCCGGACCCCCGACTAGTTGTCGAACCAGCTTCTAATACAATCTTATACATGTGTGCACTCCGCACCAACTCGTACATATATTAGAGTACAAATTAAGAAGTCCCTTAGCTCACTTGTTAGTTACAGTTACATAAAATGACATGGTGACACTAAAATCACCAATATATATATACACACACACTACACAATTTTTGTTCAATACATTTGTTAATGACCAAGAACCATGAAAATGAATGTTTAGGCATTACAGATTACAAAATACGGTTAAGAGATGTCTTCTCGTTAATAACATCTAATGGAGTGTCCAACGACTTGATGTACTTTTGTTGCCTAAGTACCTAAATCTTAACAGTATATTTTTATATAATTTTAGTGCTTTTTTCAAATATGATAAATTTGTTTGGTTTCAAATCGTGATCATATCCTGTTTAATAGTATTTGAATTACGTTTTAGAAAATTAATTGAAAAGTTCAACATGACAAAACAAACGAGTTTGTTAACACTATTAAATATCGACCTTCAAACATTTTTAGAAGCAAATTAGTCTATTACACTTTTAAAATCAATATTATCAAGAAATTTATTCTTAATTGAAATTAAAGCAAAATGTTTAATCTCTTTTTAGACATGACAAGTGCAAATAAGATTTTGAAAGTTTAGTTTTGAAACAACTTTTTTCTATGATGCAAATTTCATGGGAACAACCAACAATATTTTATATGCTAGACAATTAATTGGATAAGTCTTTATCATTTTTAATAAATTTAGTATTTCATTAGTTGCATTATATTCGATTGATAAATTCTTTTGTAATAATTCTAGTTGATTGGATAAATCATCAACATTGATGGTGAGACATGAAAATTTTGCAACTTCTTTGAAAACTTTGCAAATTATATGACTTCAAAATTTCTGTTATGAAAGAAAAAACAAAAAACAAATTCATATTATTTGTATTCTTCAAAGCTTCACTATAATAAACTAATATATTAATCAACTATATACACAAAAAATTGAATTATGAACAACTCTTGAGTATAAACTTTATGTACCTGTTGAAAATGACACAACTTCAATCTTGTCAAAATGTTTTTTTAAATTCTTCTGAAGTTATTATTATTGCTTTCATACTTTCAATTTTAGTTTTTCACAAAGATTTTAAAATGAGAGTTTGTTTAGGGAAAGTGTCTTTAGAATTTAGATTAGATAATGATTTTTTTTTTCTAAAGTATATTTTATAAAATATGAAATCGTTTGTTATAATTTATATTTTTCTTTGGATATAAACATTTTTCTTAAATTAAATGACAAATTTTAAAATTTTATAATTATATTTTGATTTTTTGATTTTTTTTCATAATTAAAAAGAATTTAAAATTACAAATAAATGTTACATTATGTATAATTGTGAAGTACACAACAAATCTTTATTAATGATGACAAACAACAATATCTTTTACAAAAATAACTAACACCATAACTATAGATTTGTTTAAAAATTGGGAGGCTCTCTAAAATCGGATGCCCCATACGAAGCTCAGGGCTGCCACTGATTATATTTAACTTTAAATTTATATTTTTAAAACAATTCACATTTAAATATATTTTAAACAGATTATTATACATAAAAAGCACTTGAAGTGACATTTTATTACAAAACAAAACTGATATTACATCACGTAATCGAATAATGGTTTCTTTTTATGTCCTTTAAAAAACTAAAATCCCACCTTATATTCCCAAAATATAACCCAAATATATAGAAATAAAGGAGCACCTATATTACACCCCATGTGCCCTTATTTCTGACAATTTGATTAAAGTCGATCCCTTATCATTAATTTTTTTTTCAAAAGATATACACTTAATATATACATTAATAAAATTACAATATAATTAAAAAAATAAACCCCAGATAAACCACAATTATTACATACAAATCCACAAATCTTAAACTTAAGATTTAAAAAAAGATTTGTCAATATCAATTATATCACATACACTTTTGATTTAATTTCCTTATTCCCCCCTTCCCCCACCCTCTTCTCCCATATATTTATATATAAATAAACGAGAGTACCAGTCCTTACAACATTACCAGTTTGGATCGAAATTCAAGAAATGGGATCTCTGTTTACCTCATTATTATTATACTTGTCATTTTTTTTGTTTTTTTACCACATAAAAGCCACTTCTTTTCTCAATTCCTCTAAGGCCACTTCTTGCAATTTCTTCAAAGGCAAATGGGTATACGATCAATCTTACCCTCTTTACAACCCTGCTACATGTCCTTTCCTAGATCCTGAATTCGATTGTGTCAAATATGGAAGACCAGACAGGTCTTATCTCAAGTACCGGTGGCAGCCTTTCAGCTGCAACCTTCCCAGGTCCGTATTACTGTTACTATTACTGTTACTGATACTGTTTTTATCTAGTTTAACCAGAAAACAACATGATCATGGTTTTGATTGTGTAATGTTGTAAGCAGGTTTAATGGGGTGCAGTTTTTGGAGAAGTGGAGAGGGAAGAGGTTTATGTTTGTGGGTGACTCACTGAGTTTCAATATGTGGATCTCACTGAGTTGCATGATCCACTCGTGGGTGCCTAATGCGAAGTATAATTTAGTCAAAACTGGTGGTGTTCTTACTGAACTTACGTTTCAGGTTTGTTCTTCTTGTTCTTCTTTTTAATTTAAATTTTAATATATTTTATTCTTCTCGTGGTCAATTATTATTGGTCCAACTACCCTCCACTTTTTTCTTTGGTATTTGTTTATGATACCTTAAATTCAAATCCAAGATATTTCGTACCAATTGAATCAATATTTTATAAATACCATGATACCTCAAATCAAAAATTAAGATTGGGTTTTCTTTTCTTAGTGTATCTATTAGCGTATTTATCATGGTTCCATGGATAATACCAAAAAAAATTGTATTAGCGTATTTATCATGGTTCCATGGATAATATCAAAAAAAAAAAAAAAAAAAAAAAAAAAAAAAAAAAAAAATTGTGTTACGTATAACAACTATTTTATCTAAAATTTTGGGTTACTATTATATAATTGTAGGATTGAGTACTTTTATATGTTTTAGAATTGAGACGTTTGTACACAACATTTAGTTAACGAATTATGTTTTAGAAACGGATGCATACACAACAATTTGTGTTCGTGTAAATTTCCTTTGAAATTGGTGTCAATATGCATTTAAGCAAATAATTAGTTATTTTGTGTTAATGATAAACATTATTTTCCAACTCATGTAAGCACTTAAATTATAATAAAGTCAATTTTGCCAGTTGGATGAGCTTTTAACCTTCATCCTTTTGGAGCCACAACATTTCCAAAATTTTGGCTGAATACATCACCTTACACGTAATCAGTTTTCCCTTTTTCTATTTTGGTCAATGTTTAAATTTACTATATTGATAAAAATAAATGAGAAAGATTTACGTTGCAAAATCACAATTGTAAATAATGTTATGACTTGTGAACGTAATTTTGAAGTTTAAAACATACAAATATACTTTTTAAGTTTAAAACATACAAAATATACTTTTAAGATAGGTAAAAAAAAAAAGGTATATCTTTAGATGAATTGAGTGATATTTGAAAAGCATTTTGAGCTGTCTTCTAATATACCTAACAAAAGTACCATCGATTAAGCACATGTTATCATTTAATTTAAATTGAACAAAAAAAAAAATCCAGCATGAAGGTTGTTCATCGATCAATCATGACATATTCCTTGATTTATTGCTTAATTTTCCAATCATTTTCGCTCTTTTTCTTTTTCTTTTTTTCATTTTATTAAATACTAAAATAATTAAATACAAAACTATCCGTAGGTACGTAATGATTATCATTAACACAAAATAACTAATTATTTGCTTGATTATTTATTAAATTATAGATAGTAAAATGAGTTTTCTTTTTTACGAAATAGGCATTCAAATTACGAGTCGTTTACTTCGTGACATAGCAGCAATTAAATGTTTATTTATGCACCTATATTTTATTTATTTATACTAATTTATGCAATACTCTTTTATATTTTTATTATTTATGCAACTTGCATGAATTGTGCATTTATGTTTCAATGGAATACTTATATTACATGTGGAATACTGTATTTTTTCCCCTTTTCCATATTTTGGTTTCAAAAATTAAACATGTTACATATTTTTATCAATAAAAGTACTTTATGTCATAAATATCAAAAAAATACACAAACGAAAAAAAAAAAAAAAAACCCAAAAGTTAAAACAACTTTCTACAAACAAGAGACAAATAGGGAAACTAGAGGAAGACACCAATAAAGCCCTAATATTCGATTCTTTCTTAGTTAATAGAAAATTAATTCAAGATTCTCATATTTGATCACTTTTATCTCCCATCTATTCCTTTATAGTTTTTTCATTTTACATAACAAAATAATTTATCAAATCAGAAAAATAATTTCGTGGGATTTCCAAATCTAAATCATGTTTACTCTTTGTTTATCATTAAATCGTGAAAAAAAAAATTAAAAATTGAAGGAAAAGGCTCCAAGGTATCATGGGGGATGAAAAGTCACGTGACTCGCATGTGGGCGTGGGATATTCTCACGAGAGTAGATGTAGATGTACTGCAGTAATAAATGCGCATTTTTTTGGCATTTATTCACAACCTCACGGGTTACCTTCACTATTATTGCTTTCATCTTATAAAACGTTATGTTTTTACTATTTACTGACAGGATTACGGACTAAAAATATCAGTATATCGTACAACCACCATAGTTGACATTGTGAACGAAAAAGTGGGTCGGGTTCTAAAACTAGATTCGATCCGTCAAGGAAACGCGTGGAAGGGTATGGACGTACTAATTTTTAACTCGTGGCATTGGTGGACTCATACTGGACGTGACCAACCGTAAGATTTTATATTCTGTGTAACGCGTTATCAGTATCAGTGACTATCAGGTAAACCGTGGTGTAAAACATGCATTTTGGATTGAAATGCAGATGGGATTACATAGGGGAAGGAGGGAAAGTGTATAAAGACATGAATAGGCTTGTGGCATACTATAAAGGGATGACAACATGGTCGAGATGGGTCAATCGCTTCGTTGACCCCTCGAAAACCAAAGTTTTCTTCCAAGGCATTTCTCCTGTCCATTACGAGTAAGTTTTGGCATTAGTTGTTCTAAGCTTAATATTTATCGGATAATATTATGTATAAATGGTTAAACTATTGTTACTCTTTTAACTTTATAAACATAATGAATATATGACCTAATCTAGTAAGTTATATATCAATATTCTTTCGTTTCATATTTAGAAAAAACCAAAAAGGGTTATAATATAAGAAGTCATAGATATAAATTTTTATGTTTTTGCAAATTCGCACTCTATCAAAAAAAATTCCATATTGGTTTCAAAGTTTGTTGGGATTTTGTTTAATATTTTTTAAATTTATTTTAACGGAACGATAATTAATGTAAAAAAAACATTGAAATCTAATTTGATGTTTATTTTGATTCACATAGTGGAAGGGATTGGAATCAACCATCAAAATCATGCAAGAGTGAAACTCAACCATTCTTCGGTTTACAATATCCCGCTGGCACACCCATGGCATCTCTTGTACTCAATAAAGTCATGAGCCGAATCAAAAAACCTGTCTACTTGTTAGACATCACAACACTGTCTCAATACCGAAAGGATGCTCACCCGATTTACTATAGTGGCAACCACATTGGCTTAGATTGTAGCCATTGGTGCCTACCTGGTTTACCAGATACATGGAATGTAATTCTCAATGCAGCTCTCTCCAGTTAAAGATTGTGAGACGACTGATTTCACATTAGAAACATTTCCTATACGTTTTACATGCGTGATTTATTAGTCATAGTCTTGATGGCTTCATTAGTTTCCATTTTTATACAGCTTGGTTCGTAATTGTCTATGAAATAAAGAGGGCATAGAAATGATTCATTTGTAAAATCTCGAAATTTGATTGTATTTATATTCTACTAAAGAAAATCAGAGTTGCAACTTTTGTTCATTGTGATCTTGTTCTCTAATTTTGGTATGTTTTGTGGTGTCATGTTTCACATATTAAATGTGTTTGGTTCACATGTAGGGCGCACTTCTTGTGTATCACATTCCATTGAGGTGGATAATGTTGTGTTTCAGATCCGATCATATAAGTATTTTAAGACTATTTAGATCCGATCATATAAGTATTTTAAGACTATTTTCGATGATAAAAATGTTAAAAGTATTTACCCTTTTGCAAACGAAAGAACTTCAATCATGTCGTATTTTGGATTGAGTACGAAAGTGGCTTAACAAAAAGGCACACAAAAAATGGTACAATTGTTGGGTGGTGGGCCTTTAATGGACCATACATGTAGCCCAGTGGTGTGAGGACCAGAGCAAGAGCCAAGCCATCATTGATAAAGCTACTTGCAGGATTGTTTCAAGACAAAACAATTTATGGGTGTTGCTTAATGTTTACACCACTTTCACATTTGTCTATTCAAAGTCTTATTTTACAAAAACTTGATTTCATATTTATGAATTTGGATCTATAAGTTATTGAGTTAATTGGTTTACTTCTAAGATGTTCGAATTTCACAGACTTTAACTTTGAAATGATGTCAGTCAAAAAAATCAGCTTCATTTGGAAAATCACATAATCGAAGTAAAGTAAAGCAAATACAACGGCAACATCTAGAACACATGGCTAATCGAGAAAAAAAATCATTTTAAGGTGTTAAATCCATAATTGAACAATAAAAAGTTGATTTTAGCCCGAAAAATCCTATCATGTTTTGTTTTTCCTTGATTTTGATTTTGGTTATACTTGACCGTTTTTATGTTACTTTTTGTTTTTGGATCTATTTTTTTTTTCTATTGATTTTTCATGTTCCATTAACGATGTTGTTAGAAGCATTTTCTTTTTATGAAATTGTAACATATTATAAAACGAAAGAAAAAAAATACTAAGAAAAGATGCAAAAAATATGGTAAAGATATTTAGAAGGAAAATAAACAAAAAAATTCCAGAGATTATTATTCAACAAAATAACAAATAGTGGATTCAATGTTATAAAATACTACAATAGTATGCTGCTATTGACTAATAGATTAACCGCTGGTATTTAGGATTTGTAAATACTTAATGGCGACTAAAATATCACAAATCGGCTAAAAAGTCATTAAAATATAGTTTTAAAAAGAATAGGAGTCCTTTTGTCATTTTCAAAGGTTGAATGTTCAAATAATAACCAATAATCAAAATCAGATTTTTAAGCGTGGGGGTCTTACTATAATTTAATAAGACTTAAATAATTGAAATGTGGAAGAAGGGGACTTTTACAATAAAATATAGATTTCTTTTTATTGTTTTTATTTATTTACTTTTTTTTTTTTTTTTTTTCCAAATGGTGTTAGTAGGTATGTATAGATTTTAAACCATCTAATTATTTTGATCTACTTGATTAAAATAGATGGCCGACCATCAAATATTTAATTGCTAGGTTATAACCAGTATAAAAAATTTTAAGACACAATCATTAATCATAAATTTACAAACAACTTTTATACAAAATTATATGTTTTGTATGTAGCCGAAATCATTTTTAAAGATATTTTGAAGCTTTTAAGAAATTTGATGTTTTCTCTCTCTCACATATATATATATATATATATATATATATATATATATATATATATATATATATATATATATATATATATATATATATATATATATATAAGTGATGGTTGTAAATAATTTTCTTTTAGAAATGGGTTTATTTAGACGATTAATTTTTTGCACAAATAGTTAATCCATCTATGCAAACCATTTATCTGAGGGTTTGACACGAAAATATATTATATTTCAAGGAACACAAGCTACTTTTCTAGGAAGTTCCTTTTTTATTTATATTTCGTTTCCTTTCGCTGATTCCTTTTATATTTTTGGTATCAATTATCGAAAACTAATTTTTATAATTATTATATATATAAATGAGACATATTTTTTTTTTATTACAACCTCCAACTCCCTCTCTTTATTTGGATGGGATTTTGCGTTTTGGTAGTTATATTTTATGTTTTTTTAGTCATCTAAAATTACAAAACCATATCGACATCGTATTTTTCAATTAGATCCCTATACATTTCTACAACCCTTGGTTTTCTTTTCATCCTAGGTGGTAGTTATTGACTTTACATATGTTTGCAGTATCATATGCGAGACAACTATCAGGAGTACTTATGTGCAGACGAAAACCAAACATGTTATATCAACCCAACCATTTTCAATTTGCAAGTTGTGTTCCATATGCTGTAGATGGGGTAGATTTGTCTTTTGGTATTTTTTTCGTCAATGGAGTCTCCATGAGCTACTATCCTTTTATTGTATAAGAGTCTCTTGGTAAATCGGATGTAATGAGTATCTGAAAATTGCAAACATTTTATAGGCGAATAAGTTTGATGGGATATTATTCATTTACCCTTATGGTTATTTTTCCTTATAGATAAATAGCAACATGCTTACAATTATGTATCCATAATAACACACACACACACACATCACACAACATACAGACACACATGCACACCATACATAAGAAAATTAGCAATGTACTTTGGATTATATGCCAATTTATAGCACTCTACTTTCATTTTTCTATATTAGACAAAATAGAAAATGAAAGCATGATGTTATATTTTGTCACACCCCAAAATCGGAACGGCGGAAACGTTCTGGGGTGGATGACATCATGTCAAGTATCACAACACATGCATTATAGTAATCAAAGTACAACAAACCATTGCATTAATAGTAATAGTTTTACAAGGTTTCATTTCAACAATTTAAAGTAATACAAGTAATAGAATAAATACAGCGTGGTATTAAACTGTCTTCATCAACAGCTCCGGCGATGTACCTGTCTAATGCTAACCTGAAAATACAAGTTATTTGAAAAGCGAGTATCAGCATTTTTACAAATGCTGGTGAGTTCATAAGCATTTAATGACATTTCATTCAAATAACTTAATAAAGTAATAGTTTAAGAGATTTCAGTGTATTAGAGTCCTTTCCAGAAAATCCTATATTTTCTTTAATAAAAGCAACCTTCTACCAAGACTGGTCAGTGATGTGGGGTAAAAAGTAGTCTTCCCTAAATTGCTATCATTATCAAAATACTGAATTTGATTATTGAGGAAAGCAACGACATCAGGGAATATCATATGCCTCAGCAGTGAGGACTCCTGACTAAGGCAAAGAACCATAGACTCCGGGAAAGTATCAAACAAACGACACGCCTAGTTCAGTCTAACAAGTGGAGACACAGACCCCAGAAGGTACCAAATGAAGGGTACAACTAGTAGGGTCTAAACAGTGAATACAGACCGCATACAATATCCAATGAAAGATACGTCTAGCAAGGTCTAGAACGGTGAACACAGTGAATACCGTGAATACAGTGGATTCTGTGAATATAGTGGATACAGACCCCAGACAGCATCAAATGAAAGATACCTCTTGTAAGGTCAATCAGAGATAACAGACCCCAGACAATATCAAATGAAAGATACGTCAGGTAAGGTCAAAACAGTGTGACTCTGAAAATGAATTACCAGCATACAGTGTAGATTGTCGGTGAAATACCTTTACCTTAAGGCCAAAGAATTATAAGGTAACCCTGGATACTCGCAACCATACTAACCGACACTAGAGAACCAGACGCCCTACAAGCGTCTTGAGAATGTGACATTTGTCACCCCTTGGCTTGGTATGCCATGGACTGTAGCTAGCAGTTAGGGTGCGGGGGTGTCAATCCCGTATAGATCTATACACACAATGTCCGCTCTCCCTACAGGAGACTCTGGTTACCAACTAGACGATGGAGAAGGCCGTGTCCCGAGGATGCATCCCAAATAGTGGGTAATGACTTCCAAACAGTGGGTAGTGGGTTTCTAATGTAAGTGTTGATCTAGTGGTAGAGACTCTTAACTAAATTGACTGAAGAAAACTCGTATGTCTATGCTCGTGTACATAATATATAACTAATGAATCGAACGACCTTCAGATGGACATCCGATCCCACCAGACCACATCTCAACGAAGAAAAGGAAATAGGGCGGACAAGCCTTCCTAAGTCCTTCAATCATTATTTATATGCATCTATACAAGCATAAACATACATCTAACTACGCTTGAGTGTGTATCATACAGTGAAGTATAAGTGTACAGTGGAACATCTGAGTCGTGAAGTATAAGCGTACAGTGGATCATCCGAGTCGTGAAGTATAAGTGTACAGTGGAACATCCGAGTCGTGAAGTATAAGAGTACAGTGGATCATCCGAGTCATGAAGTATAAGTGTACAGTGGAACATCTGAGTCGTGAAGTATAAGCGTACAGTGGATCATCCGAGTCGTGAAGTATAAGTGTACAGTGGAACATCCGAGTCGTGAAGTATAAGTGTACAGTGGATCATCCGAGATGTGAAGTATAAACGTACAGTGGATCATCCGAGTCGTGAAGTATAAATGTACCAAGTATAAGTGTATCACGAAGCAGAGACGACAATAAGTGAAGTAAGAACGTCTATCAAGTATAAGTGAAGTAAAGTCGTTATCAAGTATAAGTGAAGAAGAATCGTATCACTGAGTAAGTGCATGAATAAGTATAAGCGTCCTCAGGTATACGCGACTACAAGTATAAATGAAAGCGTTACCGAGTCGGAGTATAAAATAAGAATAAGCGAAGCAGTAGTATTTAACAAGTAAAAGTATACGTCTAAAAGGGAAATCTTTAATGAAAAGCCTTTATGTACAGAGAAAATCACAAATTGTATTCTTTTGTAAAATATGTTTAAAAACCTTAGAGGATCTTTCATAAACTAATTTAGAATGAATTTGGATAAATCAGTATAAGTAAAAGTTATGAAATAAGTAAAAATCATTATAGTGTCCCACTTGGTAAAACAGTGTAAAGTGGTAAAATCTTGTGCATGCGGGTTATCAACCACATGTGATTGAC